GGCTCGGGTCGGAAAGCGTGGCGCTCGACGACCTCCTGCAGCAGGTGGACACCAAGAGGGAGCTGGTGGCGGAGCTGGTGGTCGAGCTCGAGGCAGCTGGTGAGTGCAAGAGTGTAGTGGCAGAGGTCGCTGCTGGTGTCGGGGCTCCAGCTGCATCGGCTGCGGAGTCCAAGACTGCCAGGGGCAGCGGGCTTGTCAAGCTCTCGCCGGCACGGCTCACGGACAGTAAACTCGATGACATTGATCTGGACGACGACGAGCTCTTCGGTTTCGCCGAGATCGACGGTATGGGCGGGTCAACCCTGATAGAGGCCAAAGGACGCAAAAGGCACATGCCCGTGGCGCGCAAAAAATATGGCGGGTATTTATTCGGCGACGCACGCAAGGGGTGGAAGTCCTGCAGGCCGAACACAAGGCCCAGCAGGAGCGCCGCTCGACCAAGGAAAGGCGTACTCGGGAGGATGAAGATGCTGCAGGTGCAGGTGCTGCTGCGGAAACAGCTGCCGAGGAGGGCGGGAGAGTACAGCCGACGGGGCAGCCGGCTGAAGCCGACAGCCATCCCGAAGTGTCTTAGTCCTCCGCTCCATCAGCCGAGACGGGCAGAGGGAGGAGGCGTGGGCAAAGGATGAGGAGGCGGAGGAGGAGGAGGGGGAGGCAGATGGAGGAAGCGGAGAAAGAAATGGAGGAGGGCAGCAATCTATTCTGGAAAGGGGGCTGGAACATGTTTCCCGAGAGTCTCGTGGTATCGTGGGCCGCTGAGCGCACAGAAGGGTCTCTCAGTAAGCACTCGGGTTCGGGTGCGTGCCGCTCGCCGGGGGCCTCAGTTCCTTGGAGTACTTCGCGTGTTCGGGCGGCGTGGCGAAGGGCATTCAGTCCACCGACATGGTACCCGAGCTGGGCAGTGGTTTGCGTTCTCCCTGTGGCTTCGTTATGCACTCGCTACGTATTCATTGCGGACGTGCTGCGAGACGAGATCAAAACGCAAACGGCTCACGAAATCGCCAAAAACACCGTTTAGCCCGAGCCCTGCCACCCACATAACGCAGGATTGAAGGGGAACTGGGACACACAAATAAATAGACACCAATAACCAGATTCCAAATATTTTCCCATATTTTCTGGATTCCTGTCTTCCCCCCACTTCCCATATTTCCAATAATTTCTGGGAAGTCGACGATTAATTGTGTCTGGCTGTTTTTTTCCCTCCTGAAGGATGCGCAGCTCGCCGTGCACAGGCCAGTCCGTCTCCGGCTGCGCCCCAGGCAAACGCGGCCCTGCGCCCTGACCTCCCGCGAGCCGCCCCCGAACCCGAAGGCCTGGCCGGCTGGTGCCGCGCGAAGGCCACCCGACTCGTCCAGTGCAACCGGTGCTGCGAAGGGCTGTCTGGGATGCTCGATTATCGCGCGTTGGTAGAACTGGGTTTAGTGGAACCTGGTTTAGTGATCTGTAACGGGGGCGCCCCCCCCGTCCCATGTCCACTAACCGGAACTGCCGTCACCCGAAAAACACCAGCTACGGCAAACCTGGTTTAATGAATCTGGCCAATTGAGGGGCCCCAGGGCCCTACCACTAATCAGGCCCCCTTACCCGGGGCCCTGGCTATACCCGAGATTGGGTTTACGGGGCGCGGGCTTATCAGGCTGAGCATGTTCTTCCGCCTGGCGCAATGCGAGCTGCCCTGCGATGACACCCGCAGCAAGTCACCGCAGCTGCGCTGGCGTCGATCATCAAGTATAAATCCCCGCCACGTCGGCAAACGAAGACGTCTGCGACAACCGACCGAACCACCCCAACCCAACCCGAAAACCCAAATTCCGGGTCGGGGGGGCACGGGTTCACGCGCGCGCCCCCGGCGTTCCCCAACGCCCCCCCACCCCGCCACCACCGCCACCACCACCACCGCCACCACCACTGGGGATGAAGGGTAAATTGGGGCTTTCAGGCTAGGTTTGGGTTGGCATGGTGGATGGCGAAGCGTTGGGGAAGTGGCCTCTGCGTCGCTTTCAGGGTCTGGCCCCCGAGGTTCGCGAAGCCTCGAAGGGGGCCCCAGGCGCTCAGGCGCCCCCCCTCCCCCACCCACCCCCCTCCCCATGCTAGCAACGTTTTGGCCAGCGACCTCCACGAGCTCCCGACTCCTGTCCAGGCCCTGGCCCGCGGGGCCCCGAGGCAGGAGACCCGGCAGAGCGCGCGCAGTTTCAGCGGGGCCAAGAAGCCGGAGGCCGCTCAGGACACGGCCATCTCGCCGCAGCCGCTACTTAGCGCCCCCCAATCGGAAGCGCGCAGGGAAGGCGAGGCGGGGTGGAAAGAGCGGCTCCAATCAAGCATCAGGGAAGGGGGGGGAATCACACACCTTCGAGGACGCCCCTGGATTTATCCCCGCGACCACGCAGGCGGCCTCTGGGCCGATCCTGTCGGGCCCTTTGAGTTCGCTGAAGAGCGAGGCCTCTGAGCGGGCCACGCCTTCGGGGGGCGCCCTCGACGGCGCCCCGAAACACGCGCGATGGGCCGTGGCAATCCGTTCCTCGCGCGCCGCGCGATCGCGCCCGAGCGGCGGCCGCGGCGGCGAGGGCGTCCACGGCGCAGGCCGCGGCAGGGCCCACATGCGGCGCCGCGCGCGGCTGTCCGACTCAGCCCCTCAAGAGGCCCCCGCCCCCCCCCGCCATCTTCGAAGCGATGCCCGGCCCCCCGCGCCGGCCCTGGGCAATCCAGGCGGCCCTTCGCCCGAGACCTTCGGGCGGCCACAGACAGCCAGGGTCGCTCGTTTCCGCGCGCAGATCGCGGGGAAGGAGACGCAGGACAGATTCGGCGACGGAGCGGGAGGCCAAAAATAAGCGCGTCGCGTTGTTTTCCATTTTTCTCCCCCGCAGTTCCCTTGCATCTGCGACGGGCGCGGCCTGGCGCCAGGCGGCCAGAGCGGAGCTCAGCGCGAGTCGCGGCGAAGCCCCTGCTCTCCTCCCGTGGGGCATGACTATATTCTGAAAGAGCCCCCCGGAGCGATTCGCGGTGTAATTCCAGAAGTTTGGTTTCCCACGCCCATTACCCAGCTCTGCACTTTCGCCTACAAGTGCGGCCGCTTCATCAGCATGGGCCCAGCGGTAGCTGGCCCCTTTCCCCCCACCCACCCCAAGGAGTGGCGGCGGGCGCATCGCGGCTACGCCCTTGGCCCGCGTGCACCTCCTGGGCCCACTCTCTAACATCAGGCGTCCTGGGGCGTTGCCCAGGCCCATCCCATCGACGACTCGGGTCTGGACTCCGCGAGATCAGCCCCTCGAGCGGTTTCGAGTCTCAGGAATGGTTCTAGGCAACTTGAGCGCGCCTTAGTTGAGGGCGCGGTCGATCGATCTCCCTGCCCCACGCCAGTCGAGGCAACTTGCTCTGCTCGGACGCCCAGGCGACTACCCAGTGGCACGTTCTCCATGCAGACCGCGCTGGACCCTCGGCCGCCATCGCGGCGGCCAATGCGCCAGCGACGCCTGTCCCCGACCCGATACGACCAGAAAGGTGTCTGGCAATAGGCGGAGGCGGTAGAATCGGATGGGCAGGTGGTTTCGGGGGTTCTTGGATGGCAGAGCGTCGCATCACGCGCCGTCCGGATTGAAACAGGCGGCCTGGGGCATGACCAATTTCAGCCAGGCCAATCGCCCCCTCGGACGTGTTTTTGGCATCGCATGCTGGGGGCCCCCCAGACCTCGTAGGCCAAAGAGTTCGCGGCTTTCGGGTGCGCGGGTCAGCTCATTGAAGGCCCGCGCGATCCGTGCACTGGCCGCGCCAATGTGCACGCGCAGGGACGCGGGCCCCTGGGCGAACAGTTAAACTACCGAAGGCCCTACGGGTGGCTCTTTTTGCACGGGCAGCGCGTCGACCACCATATTCTCTCGATTCGGAAGGCAAAGGCACACCTTTCGCTTCACGAGGACCCCGGGGAAGAGATGGCTCGCAGAAGTGGCGATTTTCAAGCCGACGACTTTCAAGCAGACGAAGCGGCGAAAGCTGAGAACCGTCTACACCCCAGAGCCAGCGACGATCCAGAGGAGGCATTGGGAAAACTTCTCTGGGTCGCCAGCACGCACTGTTTGCAAGCTCGCTGCTGCTTGTCCACTTAAATGGCCGGGACTCAATCTTTCGGACGTCCCGTTCGTTGCGGCAACACGTTTGGGAATCCCTTGCGGGCCGATGGTGCTGGGGTTCCTGCTGCAAGGCCTCTCGGACTCAGCTCCGCCCGCCCCTCCCTGGTTGCCCTGGAAACTCGCGTGGCTGGGCCCAGCCAATGTGGTGCATCTTCTCCCTCTTATCCTTGTGCATGATATGCCCCTCCGTGTTGATCGACGCCATTGCTGCGGCGCCAGCGAAGCCAGCACCTTCTTTTCCCCCGACGGCCGGGGCGCACCGCGCGCTCCGAAGTGTATTTCGCACACCAAAGTGTTTCCAGGCGCAACAGTTCTTGAGCAAAACGCCCGCAGCGGCCCACGGATGGGTGATAACATGACGCAGGCAGGAGCGAACGTCCTCGTCTGATGGAACGTCTCCGGCACTTCGTGATCGGTCTTCCGTGCAGCGATGGCAACCTGTCACAGATGCACCCACAGTGTCTATCACTGCGGGTTCGGCTCACTCAAGAAACCGAACCTCTCAAGCCAGTGCTCCTTTTACGTAAGTGAAGCCCTCACAGCAAATCCATGTGGAACACAAGGATTCTGAAGGGCTTGCACCCGGAGCACAGTTGCACCATTCGGGTGGACCCAGACGGGGTCATCGGTCTCGAGTGAGACTGTTTCAGAGCAGGCGTTTGGCCCGACAGTCCAGTCTTGCTGGTGTCTGTCGTTGATGCTGAAGAGCTCTCCTCCTCCTCCTCCTCCTCCTCCTCGTCCTCCCTCCTCCTCCTCCTCGTCCTCCTCCTCCTCCTTTTCCTCCTCCTCCTCCTCCCTCCTCCTCCTCCTCCTCCTCCTCCTCCTCCTCCTCCTCCTCCTCCACCTCCTTCATCTGGTGCATCGCTGGCCCTCCTGGGTGGAGACGCCCAGCTTGTGCCTTATGCCCCTGAGGAGCCTCTTGGCCTTCCTGTGGGAGACGACGGCCTCGGGAGCGCAGCCCGCTGCAGCCCGCCGTCGTCATGAGTGTCGGTGTCGGTGTCGGCGTCGGAGGGAGGAGGAGGAGGAGGAGGAGGAGGAGGAGGAGGAGATGGAGGAGGAGGAGGAGGAGAAGCAAAGCTTCCAAGGTTCCAGCATGATGACTATGACCTCGAAAAGGACGGGGCAGGAAGCCAGTACGGAAAGGACCGAGGCGACCGCAGGCTTGCCTCGGAGCTCAGAGAGGGAGGGACAAACGCAGCAGTCGAGGAAAAGAAAGAGACTACACTTGGGGGGGGGGCGAGCGCCCTGTCGCCGGCACTCGGGTAGCCTGTCGCCCACAACTCGGGCGCTGAGAAGCGCGGGGCGTGCCCGAATGGGGGCGGGGAACGCATGTGGACGGTGGCACTGGGGCCTTCGGTGGAGCTCCCTATGGGGCCACGAAACGTATGAGGGTTGCGCCGACATGGGTGTGGGGGACGCATGTGGACGGTGGCACTGGGGCCTTCGGTGGAGCTCCCTATGGGGCCACGAAGCGCATGAGGCTTGCGCCGACATGGGTGTGGGGGACGCATGTGGACGGTGGCACTGGGGCCTTCGGTAGAGCTCCCTATGGAGCCACAAAACGTGCGGGGGGCGTGCCGGAATGGGGGTGGGGGACGCATGTGGACGGTGGCACTGGGGCCTTCGGTGGAGCTCCCTATGGGGCCACGAAACGTATGAGGGTTGCGCCGACATGGGTGTGGGGGACGCGTGTGGATGGTGGCACTGGGGCCTTCGGTGGAGCTCCCTATGGGGCCTCGAAACGTATGAGGGGTGTGCCGAAATGGGTGTGGGGGACGCATGTGGATGGTGGCACTGGGGCCTTCGGTAGAGCTCCCTATGGGGCCACGAAACGTGTGAGGGGTGTGTCGAAACGGGTGGGGGGGGCGCATGTGGACGGTAGCGCTAGGGCCTTCGGTGGAGCTCCCTATGGGGCCGCGAAACGCTGTAAGGGGTGAAACGCAGGGAGGAGGGAGGAGGGGAAGGAGGGAGGAGGGAGGAGGAAGGAGAACGCGGGGACAGTCTCTTCAAAACGAGGACCCAACACCTCAGGATGGCTGGGAAAAACAAGCTGCATGTCTGAAGGCCCCCAGGTGCCTCTGGAGGTCTTTAGAAGCTTCGAAACGCCAAGGGGAAGTCCCAAACCGAACTCAAAAACCTCCATCCTCGAACCAAGGAACCAACCAAGGAGGGCTGAGGAAGAAGTCAGGGAACAAGAAGATACTGATACCCCGACTCGCCAGACATCTCCTGGGATGCGTTCCGACCAGGAACCCAAGATGAGTCGACACGCGGGGAGGGCATCCGAATCGGAACGTTTTCCCCATCTGGAAGAATCGCCATGAAGGAAAGCGGTCTTGAGGGATGCGGGCCCTGGAAGCTTTTCCTTGCTCTCAGGCCCTCCCCGGGCCTCGGGACCGGAAGAAAAGCGGGTCCTGGGGGAAAGTCCCCAGGGGGTCCAGGGTCCGCGTTTGCAAAGGCCCGTTGCCTTCAGAGGAGGGGAGAGACTGGAGCACCAGGGCCGGTGCAGCAGCGTCTCTGGTGAAACACTGCGCGGCCAAGTCGGCAAGCGCCGCCACAGACTTCAGAGGACGTCGGTGGAATTGCAGGCGCGTAAGGAGAGGAGGCCCATGTCAAAGCAGTCGGGAAGGAGGGAGGACGAGGAGAGGGGTCTGAGTGTTAAACGTGCTTGACCCTTCATGGGCCTCCAAAGAGCCTCCGCTTCGGGGATCCGCTGACCCAGGCCACTGCAACCCGGGCCAGTCATGATTTTACAGGATCCTGCAGGATCCTGCGCCCTAACCCAGGTCAGTGCGGCCCTGGCTTTGCAGGATCCTTTGGCGGAGCGCACAAGGGGGTTCAGGGGGAGGGGGGAGGGCTTCTTCGAACAAGGCTGCTTCTTAAAAGGCTCTGGCCCTATCTACAGATGAGGCCCGCGCCTCCCAAGGAGCCAGGGTGCTTCTAAGAAGCCCTCCCCCCTGCCCCCTAGATCTGGCGCCTTGGCTGACTCCTGCAAGATCTGGCGCCCTGGCTGACCCCCGTTTGCACTGGCCCCCGTCTCGAGGCTCCCGAGGTCGGGGGATCTCCGGAGGCCCTGGGGGAGGAGGGAGGCGGCCAAAGGCCCCCAGCAGGCCTCCCCAGGAGCGCCTCACGAGGACCCCCAGCAGCAGGTCCTTCAGCCTCCTGGGGGGGGGGGGGGGAGAGAGTAGGGGGGCAATCGTTTTCAAACCCGTGAGCTCAGAGGTGGCCCCGAGAGGGCCCCAGGACACCCCCAAGGAGCCCCAAGAGAGCCCGAGGATCCCCCCAGAAGAACCCCAGGAGGCCTCCCGGATGGGGTCCAAGTAGGTCGCAGGATCGCGCCGCATCGCCGATACATCGCCAGAGCATCGCCGATGCATCGCCGATGCATCGGCGACGTCGGCGACGCATCGGCGACGTCGGAGTGGAGAAAGTCGGACTCAAGATGGAACCACATCGCCGATACGTCGACGATGCGGCAGGAGCCTCCGATCCCATCCACTCCATCAACATCTGGGATCGGCGACACCGAAGGGTATGGTTTGCAAAGGGAGTGGTTTGCAACACGCACCCTGGGGGGCACCCTTGGGGGCGGGCGAGGACCTCGACAGAGCTCCGCCGCGCCCGACCAGGACAGCGTCGTGCCCCCTGGGCCCCAACGGCGCCGATCGCAAACCACACCCCCACGTAACTTCACCCTTTGTAGACGCCGATGGGATGCCTGTGGCAGAGGCCCTCCTAGAGGAAAAAGAACTGTGCACATACACCGATTCTGGCCAGGCCCATCCTGAGCCCAGGATCGGTGCATACGCCCTCCTACACTGGCCAGGAAGGCACATGCACCGATCCTGGGTCGAGGATGGGCCCTGCCAGGATCGGTGCATGTGCACAATTCTCTTCGCCCGACCTCCAGCAAAATCTGGGCCACGAAGCGAGACCGGGCTCACGCAAGATGGCACAGCGACGCGGAGCACCCGCGTGGTACGCCACGCTGGAAGCGAGGGCGCTCGCGCGCGCCCTGACGCGGGCGACTTGCGCGCGAATGTCGGCGCAGTCGAACCCAATTGTTTTCGTCGCCCATCAGGGAGGCCTGGGGCAGAGGTCAGGTCGGGCACGTCCTCCGACAGGCGGATTTGACTACCTACCAGACCACCCCAACCCAACCCGAAGACCCGAATTTGACCCGAATTTCGGGTTGGGGGAGGGGTACGGGTTCCATGTGTTTTTCTATGTTCCCCGACCCCCCCGCACTGGAAATGGAGGGCAAATTGAGGCCTTCGGGTTGGGTTGGGGGTGGTTTGGTGGGTGGTGAGGGTTGTGGACGAACAAAAAAAAACTCAAAAACAGCCAAAACTGGTTGTGAAACATCGCCCCCGACCATGTCTTGACTGTGTTTCCCTATTCTTACCAGCCTGGAACATATCCCTATCCATATGCTGGGCACCTCCTCATCACGATGCCAATCTTAGAGATGTCCTTATTGTTTGAGGGCGAATCCCTAAGATTGTAGTCGCCTTTTGGCGTGTCAAATCTTGGGGACAGGGATACGTTCGAGGCTGGTAGTATTCCTCCTGGCGAGGGACGCGCCCGACGTCAGCGAAGAGGAGGAGGAGGAGGAGCGCTGCGGAGGCGCGGCCGACCCCGGCGGAGCCCCGGGGGGAGCGGCGACGGGCCGAGGCGCTCGGCCGAGGGGCCCGCTGCCCGCACGCCGAGGGGCGAGGGGGAGCGCTCGGGGCCGACGAGCGCCCGCCGGGGAGCGCAGGGCAGAGGCGCCGAGTGTCATTGAAGGGGCCCTGGGACACACAAAGAAGTGCACACAGAAATAACCAGATTCCCCATATATATGTACATATATATATATATGTATTTGCCCATATGTTCTGGGGTTCGGTCTTCCCCCTTACTTCCTGGGGATCGACGATGAACGACGATGAATTGTGTCTGTGTGTTTTTTCCCCTCCCGAAAGTGTGCGTGCAGGAGCGCGGGAGCGCTGGCACGCCAAGCACGCGCCGAGGAGAGCACCGTTTGCGTCGCGGCGCGGCGGGAGCGAGCCGCACGCGCGCGCTCTGGCAGCACGGGGCGCGCGGCGCACGGGCTGACACCGGCAGCAAGAGAAGAACGCAGGCGGGAGACGGAGGGCACTAGCCGGGGGGAAGGAGCCAAGGAACACCAGAGGCCTCCCAGATGGGGTCCGAGTAGTTGGGATCGAAGGATCGCGCCGCATCGCCAACGCATCGCCGATGCGTCGGCGATGCATCGGCGATGCATCGGCGACGTCGGCGATGCCTCGGCGGCGTCGGCGTGGGAAAACACGGGCTCCACATCGAGCCGCATAGTCGATGCATCGGCGATACGGCGCGATCCTCCGACCCCATCTACTCGGACCCCGTCTAGGAAGCCTAGAAACACACGAGGCACGCAAAGAGCGTGCTGGCACAGGAGGGAGGGCAGCGGAGGAGGAACGTCAACGGGGCCGACCCGCCCTCAGGGGGGAGATGCGTCGCCGAGGGACTGGCGGCGGGCCCCCAATCCCAGACCCCCTCGAGTCGTGCCGAAACCACGGCGGGAGGGAGGGAGGGAGGGAGGGAGGAGGGAGGGAGAGAGGGAGGGAGGGAGGGAGTGCTCAGAAGTAGAGACACATAAAAACTCCAGGGGGTCTCACCGGGCCTCGGGACCCTCCAGAAACGACTCGGAGTGAAGTGCCGGCCCCAGGGAGTGGGTGCAGACCTCTGGGGGGGTCGACGTCAGGAGAAAATCATGACGCTGGAGGTCTGGGGTGGCAGAACCCCCACGCTCCTTGGCGGGGTGGGCTGCCAGGCAGTGGGCGATTGACGCGTCGACGCGTCCCCCCCGTAGCTCAGGTCGAGCATGTCCTCCTACAGGCGGATATTAGAAGAAAAAGAAAAAACCCAAAAATGAACAAGATTTGCCAAAAGAGCACGAAAAATCGTCGCCAGACCATTTCTTTATTATTTGTCTTGAATGTTCCCGGGTGACCCAAAAGGGGATCCAGCTGAAAAGGGGTGGTGCAATGGATTTGGAGCAATTGTATTGCAAATGCATTGCGCCAGAGAATTGCCTTGCATTGTATTGCAACTAACGTACTGCACGCGAAAGCCCAGCAATGCAATTTGCGCCCCCCGGAATGCACTGCACACCTCAAATGTATCGCAGCCCCACAAAAAACTATTGCACCAAATCTATTGCACCACCCCCTTGTCGCTGGACCCCCTTTCTGGGTAAACCCGAATACAGTGCGGGCGCGGCCGCAAAAACCCTCGCAAGAAACCCAACCCTGAGAACCCGTGCGCGAGGTGCACCAGAGGGAAAACCTGGAGGACCCCGAGCGCAGCAGCTCTTCCAACGGCTGCGGGAAGCCACCGCGCAGCGCGGGGAGCGAAGAAACCCAGGATACCCTGACGAAGAGCATACGGCTTCTTGATGCGCTCCCCCACTGCAGGGGGGGGGGGGGGGGCGTCTCGGGGGGGGGGGGTCGCACCGCGCTGGAATCGGTGACGCATGGCCGATGGGTCGGCGATGCGCCTCCGGCTGCGAAGCCGCATATCCCTGGATGGGGCAGGTTATCGGGCCGGTGTCGGTAACGAGTGGGCGAGTCGGCGTCGACGCAGCCCCTCATGGGCCCTTCCTCCTCCTGATGCCGCCCCTGGCCTCAGTGCGCGCCCCCACTCTGTAACCCCATGCTCACGATAATAAACAATAGGGGATAATAAAGTTCGGGGTTCAAGGGGAGATAATCAAAGTAGCCCACCAGACCTCAGCATAATCTCGAAGTAAGAGATGATCAAGAGGAGACCAAACCGAGCACGTTTTGAGACATCCTTGGCGTTTAGTCTTCATTAAAATATCCTCAGCAATGGCTTATCTCGCTGGAGACATCCTCGACAAATCCCTTGTTTCGCTTGAGACATCCACAAACGATTGCTTATTTCGCTTGAGACACCGTCAAACTATTTCTTATTTCGCTTGAGACATCCTCGAAATAATTGTGTTTTTCGCTTGAAACATCATCAAACTATTGCTGATTTCGCCTGAACATCCTGAAACTATTGCGTATTTCGCTCGAGACATCCTGAAACTATTGCTTATTTCGCTTGAGACACCGTCAAACTATTGCTTATTTCGCTTGAGACATCCTCGAGATAATCGTGTTTTTTATTCTCGAAGGTCTCATTGTCTGGTTCTGCTCTCTGAGCAGCCATCTGCTTGAGCAGCTCTGCTTCAGCAGCTGACCTTGAGCAGAGAGAGATAGTGAGAGAAAAAGGAGAGAGGGAGGGGGAGAGAGAGAGAGAGGTGAGACTCTCTCTCTCTCTCCCGCCGTGCGCTCCTCTGAGGTTTATTATCGTCGGCAATTTTTCTATCATCGGCTGAGGTTTATTATCGTCGGCAGTTTTTTATCATCGGCAGTGGTCAATCGCAACTCCTGAGCTCTCCTGGAAGACAGCGGCACGCAAATGATGCGCATTTCTTGAAAATCTTCATTTTGTTTTATATATATATATATATATATGTATATATATATGTATATATATATATGTGTTTTTTGTTGTTTAATAATAAAAATAATATTATAAACAAAAAAAAATTAAATTGCGAATTCCATGGTAATCCTTTCAAAATTGCGAAATCGAGCCGTCAGGCGCTTGAATGCCACATTGCTTTCGAGATTTATGCACGCGACGCATTTATGAGAAATTTGCGTCGCACGCGCTTTTGCCCGAATATCGAACGCAGTGTGGCATTCAGGCGCGTGCGGGCTCGAATTCGCAATTTCGAAAGGATTTCAATGGAATTCGCAACCAAATATAGTATTTTTTGTCAAAATAAGGTTTTTCAAAAAAAAAATGCGTGTCATGAGAAAATTGCGTCGCACACGCTTTCGCCTAAATCTCGAACGCGGTGCGGCATTCAAGCGCCTGACGGCTCGATTTCGCAAATTCGAAAAGATTTCAATGGAATTCGCAATTACATAATATATATATATATATATATATATTCAAAATGAAGTTTTTCAAAAACATGCGTATCATTTGCGTGCCGCCGTGTTCCCGGAGAGCCCAGGAGTTGCAATCGACCACTGCCGATGATAAAAAACTGCCGACGATAATAAACCTCAAGAGGTTGTGCTGAGGGGTTGTGCTGCAGGGTTGTGCTGGAGGTAATAAAGAAGAAGAATAATAAGAAGAAGAATAAGAAGAAGAGAAGATATATATATATATAAATAAATAAATAAAGACAGATAGAGGAGGAGGAGGAAAAGCAAAAAAAACAAGTTTCAAATCCATCAGAATTTATTTAGAAACGCTTTATGAAAATTGAGAAAAAGAGAGAGAGAGAGAGAAGAAGAGGAGATAATGAAAAGCAAGAGAGGAAGGAGAGGAGGAGAGGAAAGGAGAAGACAGGAGAGGAGCAAGAGGAGAGAGAGATAGAGAAACAGAGAGAGAAAAAAGACAGAGAGGAAATAATAAAAAAAACCTATCAGATTTTCCATGGATAATCAACCCCAGGGATAAACAAGTTCAGGGGGGCATGGGGGGGAGAGAGACAGAGAGATAGAAAGAGAGAGAGAGAGAAGAAATAATGAAAATGAAGAGGAGAAGAAAAATTCAAGAGGAGAAGTAGAAGAGGAGAGGAAGAGGAAAAGGAAAAAAAAATCAAGTTCCAAATCTATTATAGTTTATTTACAAGCGCTTTATGACAATCGTTTTTTAAGTGCTCGTGTAGGAGCTCATGTGCCTCACTTTCCGTGGATAATCAACCCCAGGGATAAACAAGTTCAGGGGCGCATGGGGAGAGAGAAAGATATAAAGAGAGAAATAAAGAAAACAAAGAGAGAGTTGAGGGAAATACATAAAAAGAAATATTAAAAGGAAAAGGGCAAGAAGAAATGAGGAGGAGAAGTAGAAAAGGAGAGGAAAGGAGGATAAAACAAAAAATCTGAAGATTCAAATTATTAAGTTTTTATTTACAAACGCTTTATGAAAATTAAAAAATTTTAAGTGCTCGTGTAGGGTAGCTCATGTGTCTCACTTTCCGTGGATAATCAACCCCAGGGATAAACAAGTTCAGGGGCGCATGGGGAGAGAGAGGAAAAAAAGAAAGAAATAAAGAAATATATAAAGAAATAAGAATATAAATTAAGAAAAAGAAGGAGAAGAGAAGAGGATGAAAAAGAGCAAAAAAAAATCAAGTTCCAAATCTATTAGATTTAATTTACAAACGCTTTCTGAAAATTGATTTTTTTGAGTGCTCGTGTAGGGTAGCTCATGTGCCTCACTTGCCATGGATAATCAACACCAGGGATAAACAAGTTCAGGGGGGCATGGGGAGAGAGAGGAAAAAAGAAAGAAATAAAGAAATATATAAAGAAATAAAAAAAACTTAAGAAAAAAGAAGGAGAAGAGAAGAGGAAGAAAAAAGCAATCCTCGAGTATATGCTTGTTTCGCTTGAGACATCCTCGACAAGCTTCTCGAATCGCTGGAGACATCCTCGCAGAATTGCTGGTGTCGCTTGAGACATCCTTGAAACATTGCTCGTTTCGTTTTGAGCCTGCCTCCCAAAATTCTTGGTTTCGCTTGAGACATCCTCACAGAGTTGTTGTTTTCGCTTGAGACATCCTTAAGAAACGTATCGTTTCGCTTGAGACATCATTCAGTATATGCTTGTTTCGCTTGAGACATCCTCGAGTATATGCTTGTTTCGCTTGAGACATCCTCGACAAGCTTCTCGATTCGCTCGAGACATCCTCGAGTATATGCTTGTTTCGCTTGAGACATCCTCGACAAGCTTCTCGAATCGCTTGAGACATCCTCACAGAATTACTGGTTTCGCTTGAGACATCCTTGAAACATTGCTCGTTTCGTTTGAGCCTGCCTCCCAAAATTCTTGGTTTCGCTTGAGACATCCTGAAAAAAGTGTGATCGCTTCGCTTGATGTTGCTATTTCAACATAACTTGATCTTGCTATCTCAACATAACGTTCCGAGGTGATAATGAAGTTTGGCCTCCGCGCCCCGCGCCCCCGACCAAACTCTTATTGGTCGACGATAAAAAACTCTAACGACTTAAGGGGGGGGGGGTACATTATTATCGTGGGCATGGGGTTATACTCCTCCCGTCGAGGGACATGCCCGACGCAACATGACGGGACCCCAGGACACACAAATAAATACAGACAAATAAAATGATTCCCCCTATTTTCCCATATTTTCCGGGTTTTCTGTCTTCCACCCCACTTCCCATATTTTCCCATCTTTTCTGGGGAATCGAAGATGAATTGTGTCTGCGTGTTTTTTTCCCTCCTGAGCAACCCTTCTCCAGCCTGCCCCGACGCCCAGGCGCTCGGGCCACGCACCTCTCGGGCGTTCCGCGGCCGCTCGGGAGGGCCCCCGGGCCCACCCACCCCCCGGGGAGCGCACCCCGAGGCCGGGAGACCGCCGCGAGGACCGACGAGGACCGAAGCCTGGGCCTGAGGAGGTCCAGGGCAAAGTCTGGGGCTGAGAGGCTCTAATCAAGGGGCCCAAAGACACACAAATAAATACACACAGATAACGAGATCCCCCATATTTTCGCACATTTTCTGGGTTTTTGTCTTGCCCCCCACTGCCCATATTTTCCCATATTTTCCGGGGGATGGACGATTAATTGTGTCTGTGTGTTTTTTCCCCTCCTGACCTAAGGCAGCCTCGGAAAGTCCAGGGGAAAACCTCGAGCCCCTCAGCGGCTCGGAAGATGCTCGGGCCCCCCTCGAGGCGAGGCGCGGGGCTCGCCGCCGGCCGCCGCGGGGTACCTCTCTTGCCCTCCCTGGCGAAGGCTTAGCACGACCCGACGAACACGCCCGTGGCCCCTGACAGGAGAGGATGTGCGGCCGTCGGACGCGCACGCCTTGAAGCCAGCGGTGATCTTCTGCTCCATGATGACCCTGCGGGCGCTCGACCTCACGGCCTCGGGCGCCCCACTCGTCCGCCCCCCCGCGCTGTGAAGTGCCCGCCGGGCCGGCCCCGGCCCCCTCCCGGCGCGGTGCTGTCCGGCTAAGCTCCTCTGCGTGCCCACTGATCCGCCGCCTCGCCCCATCCTCGCCCTCCTCCTCCTCCTCCTCCTCCTCCTCCTCCTCCTCCTGAGCATCATCATCATCATCATCATCATCATCATCATCATCATCATCATCATCATCATCATCATCATCATCATCATCATCATCATCATGAGCATCATCATCATCATCATCAGCAGCAGCATCAGCATCGGAATCATGATCATCCGCATCATCATCATCATCATCATCATCAGCAGCAGCAGCATCAGCATCAGCATAATAATCATCATGATCGCCGGAATCATCATCAGCATCAGCAGCATCAGCATCAGCATCAGCGTCATCATCCTCATCAGCATCAGCAGCAGAAGCATGTCATCATCATGGTCATCAGCATCGTGATCATCATCATCATCATCATCATCATAATCATCGATATCATCATGAATGTCATCGTCGTCGTCATCATCACCATCACCATCACCATCACCATCAGCATCGTCATCATCAACATCAACATCACCATCACCATCAACATCGTCATCATGATCAGTATCGTCATCATCAGCAGCATCATCATTACCATCACCATCACAATCACCGTCACAATCAACATCGTAATCATCATCTCACCATCATCATCAACAACATCATCAGCATCATCATCCTCATCATCATCATCCACATCCGCATCCTTATCCCTCTCATCTCCAACGTCGTCATGCCCCTCTTCCTCCTCCTCCTCTTCCTCATCCTCCTCCTCTTTCTCCTCATCATCATCATCATCATCATCATCATCATCATCATCATCATCATCATCCCATTCCTACTCCTGCTCCTACTCCTACTCCTCCCAGGTGCTCGTCCTCACCAGTAAAATAAAGATAACAACAATAATGGGATGGGTATACACGATAAGAATGCAAGGTAAGAGTAGCAGTGGCAGCAACGACAATGATAGGTATTGCAATTGCATCACTATGCCTACTAATAATGCTGCTGACAATCAGTCATGGCGATCATCACCACCCGCCGTCATCCTCCATCACCATCACACTTCGTCATCATCACCACCACCATCATCACAAGTAATCATCCTCATCAAAATCATCACCATCATCATCACAGTCGAACTCGTCGGCGGAGGCGTCATTGTCGTCGCTGTCATCGTCGTCCTCGTCGCGTTGATCAATACAACAAACCTCAACAACCCTCACAACCTCCTCCGACGCCTCCTCCTCCTCATCATTATCATCAGCATCATCATCGTCGTCGCCGTCATTATCATGGTCGTCGTCGTCATCGTCATCGTCATCGTCATCACTGTCGGCGCCGTCGTCGTCGTCGCCGTCATCGTCGTCGTCGTCGACGTCGTCAGCGCCGTCGGCGTCGTAGCCTTAATCATCGTCATCAGCGTGTTCATCAATACCAGCCTCAACAACCTTCATGTCGTCAGCATCCTGCTTCGAGTCCTCCTCCTCCTCATCCTCCTCGACATCATCATCATCATCATCATCATCATCATCAGCAGCAGCAGCAGCATCAGCATCATCATCATCATCATCATCATCATCAGCATCAGCATCATCATCATCATCATCATCATCATCATCATCATCATCATCATCATCATCATCATCATCATCATCATCATATTCTTCACCATCATCATCATCATCATCATCAGCAACATCATCATCAATACAAACATCCTCATCGTCGTCGTCATTGACATCATCACCACCATCACCAACAACAACACGATCATCATCAGCATCATCATCATAATCGGCATCATCATCCGCATCATCATCGCCAACTCCAGCGTCACCTCCACCCCCCACATCCTCGCCCGCCTCCTCCTCCTCCTCCTACTCCTGAACATCATCAGCAGCAGCAGCAGCATCATCATCACCATCGTCATCATCATCAGCAGTATCGTCATCATGATCGTCTGCATCATGATCAGCATCATCATCATCATCAGCAGCAGCAACAGCAGGATCAGCGTATTAATCATCATGATCGTCGGTATCATCATCAGCATCAGCAGCATCATCATTAGTACCAGCACTAGCATGCAGCATGTCATCATCATCTTCATCATCATCAACATCATCATCATCATCATCGTCATCGTCATCGTCGACGTCATTATTACCATCACCACCTTCATCATCGTCATCAACGTCGTCATCATCATGAGCATCATCATCGTCATCATCATCAGCATATTCCTCGTCGTCGTCATTATCATCGTCATCATCGTCATCGTCGATGTCAGAATCCTCGCAGCAGTCAGTATCCCCCTCATCATGTTCCGCACCATCATACCCATCATGACCATGACCATCACCATCACCAACAGCATCGTCAACACCATCAGTAACGGAACCGTCAGCGTCATAATCATCATCAACAGCATCAAAATCATCCCCAACACCATCACCACCACCACCACCATCATCAGCATCATCAGCATAATTTTTATCATCATCCTAACCATCAACACCATCATCAGCATTATCATCAGCATCAGTACCATCATCATCATCAGATTCAGCATCATAATCATCATCATCGTCATCATCATCATCAGCATAAGCATCGTCATCATAATCATCATCATCATCATCATCATCATCATCATCATCATCATCATCATCATCATCACTAGCCCCGCCTGGAAACCTTCGGAAACCTCGGATAATTAGCAACCGAGAAACATGCGAAAGTGTCCTCCAGGCTGCGAGGCTCAGGCATTATTATTCGAACTGCGTGCAATTGATCGTGTATTGCAAAATGATCACCGTGAAGCTTTGTCACACTTATGTGCTCTGCACTCTTGTCTGGATGGAGCTCTGCGAAGAGCTAAATCCAGCAGGCCAGCAAGAACTAAGAACGCTGTGAGCGCTTGCTGCTGAACGTAAAACCCCTCCGACTCGAAAGCATGCGTATACGGCACACACGGAAGGTGTGCCTGGTCCCAAGTGACATACAAATACGATGGCATGTTCTTGTTCAGCGCAAGATGTCCGCGAAAGGGAGAAAAGAAAAGGAAGAGGGGCACAAGCAGCCGATGAACAACGACTGACCTGTCTCGACTCAGTGCAACGGCCTAACTGTAAATCAGACGAGCAGTGTACGGATCAAAACAAAATCGTGGCTCCGAGTGCACAAGACGCCGAAAAAACCTAGATGGACTGCAGATTCCCGCGCCCATCCGGCACGCCTCGACGACTCGGGTGAAGCGACAGAAGCACATCGCCACGCAGTTTAGTAGCTGCAAGAGCAGACAGGTAAACATGATGTACTTGACGCCTCAGAGGATCCGAAGACACGCTCAGGACTCAGAGCTTCGCGCCCTGGAAGCTTCCAAAGCACGTGGTGCATATTGGTTGGCGCTCTGAGGACGCAAAGATGTACCACGCGGCTGGTGCACTGCAGGTTCACCGCCTCCTAATGCTCCTCACCCTCCTCCTCGAAGCTCGATGCTCGCAAGGTCTGCTGTGCTCCAGGAAGTGGTGTCTCGTTACTCCTCCACCTCATCATCATCATCATCATCATCATCATCATCATCATCATCATCATCATCACTCATCACCATCATCATCATCATCATCATCATCATCATCATCACCATCATCATCATCATCATCCTTCTCCTCCTCCTCCTCCTGCTTCTGCTGCTGTTGAGGGCTGTATTGATCTGAAGACCTGAAGCCCAGCTAGACCTCCGGGCACGTTAAACAAACATGAGCGACGTGGCTGTTGTTTTCCTCTCTGCCCCCTCCAGAGAAGAGTGCGCGGCACTCAGCAAAATCACCGTGGTGCAGACTAAGCGGCGCAGGGAATAGAAAGAGACACAGGAAAGTGGAGGAGGCCCCCGAGGAGATCGGCAAGCGTCAGCTAGGCCTCTTCCCACTCCTCCTCCCCCTGCTCCCTCCCTCCCCTCCCCCCCGCGGCGCGCGCAGGGAGCGCGTGAACAGGGGGGAGGGGAGGCAAGAGAGAAGGAGGGAGGGACCCACAAACCCATGGACCGAGCGACCGAGGAACGGGAAGAGGGGAAGGGCGAGGGAGGAGGGCGCAGGAGGAGGAGGGAGGAGGGAGGAGGGGCGGGAAGGCAGGGTGCGAAAAATCCTACCTCTCGTGGGTGCCCTCCACAGACAGGTCGGAGGTAAGAGGAAGACATGAAGGAGGAGCAGGAGGAGGGAGGAGTAGGAAGAGGGAGGAGCAGCAACAGGAGAGAGGGGAGGAAGGGCGGAGCAGGAGGAGAGGGGGGGGAGGAGAAGGAGGAGCGAGCACCGCGACGAGCAGCCCAACCGAACCGAACGCAGCGGGAGGGTGCCGATTAGAGGAAGACGAAGCGGAGCTCGCCGAATGCGAACTCCATGTGCGGATGCGGAGATGCGGGGGGGCAAGGGCGGCGGCCCCCCTGCGGCAGCGGCCAGGCACCATCGCCACCAACCACCCCCCCTTGCCTCCCCTTCCCCGGCGCCAGCGCTCGCCTGGCATGCCGCGACCTGGAGGAGCGAGCCGAGCGGCAGGGCAGAGAGTCCGACGGCGCCGCGCCAGCAGCAGGCCTCCGCGGGCTCCGCGGGGGGGCGCCACGAACCAAACTGCCGCAGCCTCGCGGGGGGTCGCCTCGCCGCGGCCGCAGGCAGCACCAGAGGGGCCGTCGCGGCGGGCGTCAGCCCACACCATCGCCCAGCGACACCACGTCGTCGTCGTCGTCGTCGTCGTCGTCGTCGTCGTCGTCGGCGGCGGCGGCGGCGGCGGCGGCGGCGTCGGCGTCGGCGTCGGCGTCGGCGTCGGCGTCGGCGTCGGCGTCGGCGGCGGCAGCGGCAGCGGCGGCGGCGTCGTCGGCGTCGTGGTCGTCGGCGTCGTCGTCGGGGCCAGCAGCCGCCAGCGCGACCAGCAGCAGGCCCACGGCCGCAGCCGCAAGCACACCTCCGCCGACCGCAGGGCGTGCGCCAGCACCGCCTGGCCGCCGCGCCGCGAGGCGCAGGCGGCGGCGCCGCCGCCGCGCCGCCTTCGCCCCAGGGGCAGCTGCGCGGGCAGCAGCGGGGTCGGGGGCAGCTGGGGGTGGGAGCCGGGGGGAGAGGAGGGCGAAGGGAAGAGGGAGGGAGGATCCCGGGAGGGGCGACAAACCCTACGGCAGGTTCGTGTTGTGTCGACCCCGGGGTTGGTTTTTGACACCGCAGGGATCGTTCAACCTTGAACGATCGGCCATTTCCGCAACGTCCAATCGTTCAACATCGACCGATTCTGGGCCGCCGCCGGCGTTCAACCTTGAACGCCCGCGCTGGGGTCGCCGCTGGTCGACACGACGCAAACCTACCGTAGCTCACTCTGAAAGGGGGGGGAGCCCGCGGCCGGTGCCTGCTCTTCCAGGCCGTGGGGTCTCTGGCGGGTGCCCGCGGCGCCGCCGCCCACGGCACGCGGGCAAGGCCGCACGGCCTCCAGCTCCGCCACCGCCGCGCGGCAGAGCCCCGTGCGCACCGGGCGGCACAACGCCGCCGCGGCCGCCAGCCCGCTGCAGCTGAGCCATCCGCTCCAGGGAACGGCGGCGGGCGGCGCGGACGCGGCCCTGCGGCGAACGGTTTGAGAGTGGTCCGATGGCTTGGGCCAGAATGGCCACTGGGAAGGAGGAGTGAGGGAGGAGGAGGAGGAGGAAGAGGAGGAGGAGGAGAAGGAGGAGGCTTAGGAGGAGAAGGGGGAGGAGGAGGAGGAGGAGGAGGAGGAGGAGGAGGAGGAGGAGAAGGAGGAGGAGGAGGAGGAGGAGGAGGAGGAAGAGGACAAGCGTAAAACCAAGACTCGACAACGATGTTGGAATAAACCCTCCTTCCAAGCTCGCACGTTGCAGGCCCCGTTCATTTCCACTCAGGGAACTGCCCCATTGGGAGATCACCGTTTGAAGACCCTGGAGCGTGCCAAAACACCATTTTCGGGACAGCAACGCCACGAATCAACCTGACTGCTACGTCTTGACGATCCTGAATCGCGCCAGAACACCATTCCCGGGACTTCAACACCGCGAATCAACGTTTTGCTTGCGCTTTCACAAGCCTGAGCCCTTCCAAAACACAGTTTCTGGTACGCTGGCCATGGGAATATGTGAAACTCTTGCAAGTGTAAAATAGAAATGCACGGCACTAAGGCGAGAGCCAAATCTTGAAAAAGAACCACCCTCCATCCGCGAAACTCTTACAAATTATTTGAACGAGTGTGCGCAGCGCGGAGGCGAGAGCCACATTTTGAAAACAAGCCGCCCTCCACCAGTGAAACTCACGCAATGTTATAAACCGAATGTGCGCGGCACTACGACGAGAACCACATTTGAAAACCACCCGGCCTCAATATGTGGAACTCTTGAAATGTTCAAACGAATGTGCGCGGCGCTGAGGCGAGAACCACAATTTGCAAACGGCCCGCCCTCAATCCTCAAACTAATGCGCACGGCATTAAAGTGAAAGCCACATGTTGAAAACAACCCGCCCTCCATCTGTGGAACCGTTGCCAATTTCTAAGCTTCAGGGCCATAATTGGTGAGGAAGTCTCAGGCGAAACGCCTGGCAGGAAGCGGAGGAGGAGGAGGACGAGGAGGAGAGAGACAGAGGACAAAGGAAGGAGGAGAAGAGAATGAGCAGAAGGAGGGGGCAAGAGGAGCAGCAGGAGGGAGGAGGTCCGGAGGAGGAGGGAGGAGGGCAAGGAGGAGCCAGAGGAGGAGACAGGGCAGGAGGAGGAGGAGGAGGAGGAGCAGCAGCGGAGAGAGGGGAGGAGAGAGAGTAGGAGGACGAGGAGGAGGGGGGGAGCGAGAGGAGCGAGGGAGAGGAGCAGGAGACGAGGGGGCCGCCCCACTGCGAGGCTGCCTGTAAGGCGACCATGAGGTGCTGCACCCTGCCAGCCTTGGCGGGCCTCTCCGGCTGGACCTCGCCCTCGCCCTCGCCACGGGCGCGGGGGTGCGAGGCCACGGCAGGGAGCGCTCATCGACATCATCGTCGACATGATCGACGTCAACGTCACCAGAAATCATAGTAGCTATCATCACCACCACTACCCATCATCACCATCCTTGATTAGCATCATCATCATCATCATCATCATCATCATCATCATCATCATCATCATCATCATCATCATCATCATCATCATCATCATCATCATCATCATCATCATCATCATCATCATCATCATCATCATCATCATCATCATCATCATCATCATCATCATCATCATCATCATCATCATCGTCATCATCATCATCATCATCATCATCATCATCATCATCAGCATCAGCATAATCATCATCATAATCATCATCATCAACATCATCATCATCACCACCATCATCAGCATCATCACCATCATCATCATCATCATCATCATCATCATCATCATCATCATCCTTCTCCTCCTCTTCCTCCTGCTCCTGCTGCTGTTGAGGGCTGTCTTGATCTGAAGACCTGAAGCCTCATCATCAGCATCATCAGCATCATCATCATCAGGGCTGTCATCATCATCATCATCATCAGCATCATCGTCATCGTCATCGTCATCATCATCATCATCGTCAGCAGCAGCAGCATCAGCATCAGCATCATCATCATCAGCATCATCGTCATCGTCATCGTCATCATCATCATCATCATCATCAGCAGCAGCAGCAGCATCAGCATCAGCATCAGCATCATCATCACCATCAGCATCAGCATCAGCATCATCATCATCATCAGCAGCAGCATCAGCAGCAGCATCATGTGAGGCCAAGGCCCCAGAGGCCCCAGAGGCCAACATATAGGTTGCATCACATAGATTGCTCCACAAACATTGCACAACACATACCGCTAGAAACGCAATGTTTGGGTCCACGCTGGCTAACATAGCATATCGATTCCTCCTTCGTTTTCCTCCTCTTTCCACCTCCCCAGACCCTCCGCATTTTCAGAGCAACGCTGGGAACGGTCCCAGGACAGTTGCGGGCTCTGCGAAGAAGCTCAGCTTGCGTACTTTGCATTGCGCCCCGCCCCCGTGCCGCGAAGTCCAAGAAAGTTCCTGCTTGCTATCTTCCTTGCTCTTCTGGTGCATGCTCCTTCTAACTGCTCTTATAGTCAGTACAACTCATGATTACATATCCTGCTCATCATCTTCCTGCTCCTCCTCCTCCTCCTCCTCCTCCTCGTCCTCCTTCTCCTCCTCCTCCTGCTCCTGCTCCTTCTCCTCATTCTCCTCCTCCTCCTCCTGCTCCTTCTCCTCCTCCATTTTCTCCACCTCCTCCTTCTCCTCCTCATGCTCCTCCTCTTCCTCCTCCTCCGCCCTCCTTCTCCTCATCCTGCTCCTCCTCCTCCTCCTCCTCCTCCTCCTCCTCCTCCTCCTGCTCCTCCTCCTCCCCGCCCTCCTCCTTCTCCTCCTCCTCCTCATCGCCCTTCCCCTCCTCCCCCTCCCCCTCCCCCCCCCCGCCTCCACCTCCCCACCATTCCCCCTTCTTGGCGGCGGGCGGAGGCGCGGGAGCGCGAACCAGGACGACGGACGCGGCCGGGCGGCGGTCGGCGGCGGATGCGGCTCTTCCTAGGACGACGACGGCGACGACGACGGCGGCGACGACGACGACGACGACGACGGCGGCGGCGGCGGCGGTGACGGCGGCGGCGGCGGCGACGGCGACGGCGACGGCGGCGGCGACGGAGGCGGCGGCGACAGCGGATGCATCGGCCGCTACCGCCTCCTGGGCCTCCGCGGGCGCCGCGTCGGCGTGGGCGTTGGCGTCCTTGGTGGGCATCCTCTGCCTGGCCAGGGAGTAGATCCTCGCGGGGCGACGGGGGTGGTCCCGCCC